TCTGAAGATTGATCACATTATCAGTTGGAGGCGACATGAATGGTTTTGAATTAACCGCTTTGTAAAACATTCTCAGAGCCTCAGATGAGAGACACATTATACACGGAAAGTAGTGTGTGCAGGAAATATACATTGTATATCTACAAAATGGGCCATATCCCACTGCCATTAAAATTGATGGGAGTTTTGCCATTCACTTCAATGGGATCAGCAGCAGTATATAAAGATGAATTGGCTATAAGCACACACACTGGCGCTTTATGGGCGTGACAATATAAAAGCCTTGTGTGAAGTAATGAAATGAATTATAACAGCTCTGGGTATGTCAATCTTCCTTCTCCTACCTTCAGATGCTGTATCAGGAACATTAAACTTTTCCCCAGTTAGCCATAGGTTCATAAAAATTACAGATAAAAAGTACTATTAAGTCTATTTCCTGCCAACACAAAATTATTCCTCCCTGTACCTTTTATAATCCTCTGTGCACTCTAGATTTAAACGACTCAATGTTCTGACTTCTTCTCCTTCCTATAAGGAATTATTCCATCACTTGATCACAGATTCAACCAATCTACTTTTTCTTTCCTAGAAAACACATCAACAAAGCTAAAACCATTACAAAACACACCATGCATTGCTCCCAACTCTTATCTTGTTCCACAGAGAGACAACTAGGAAAAACACTTGAGAATTCTATCAGTTACATATTTGCTTACTTTTCATAGCCCATCATATCCAAATGAAGGCACAGCAATAGCTGCTCACTTGTTCCCAGTGTGACAGCAAACACAAAAACGGGCAGGGATGTGAACTGCTCATTTGATGTCCTACTCATTTGATGTCCTAGATTTTGAGTAATGCAACTTGATACCATCGTTTAATTCTCAGTAACGCATTACATGCTTGTCTTACAGTTTCCAGCAAAACTGAAAAATTTTAAAAAGTTACTTTGACATTGTTGCTTACCCACCCATTCCCACCTGCCTCAACACATTTACCTTGTTTTAGGTAAGTAGAGAGCACCAGACCTTCCTCTTTTTGGGCAGAATATTTAATATACATACATACACACACACACAATTTATAACTTACAGTTACTGCCTGTAGATTTAGGGGAGCACAATCTGTTTCTTTTTCCTCTGTGACTCTGAGAGTTTACACCACCACAGCACACTGACAAGTGACCAGGCCCACAGAACTACCATTAAGTGAAACAGCGAGGAAGCACTTATGTAAGTGACCAACCTAAACACAGCTGCATAGAGTAGAAATTCTTCAGTGAAACATACAAACCATCATAAAAACCATATTTATGTTCTACCCTTTCCTTTCAAGAGCAGTTGTCACTTTTTGAACAGTGTTTTATTTCCACACCACCTGCCTTTTTTTAAATGAAGCCAGGGGAGTTCTATGATGCTTCTCTCTGCAGAAGACCACATACTCTGTCAAATAAAATTCAACCCCTCCCAAAGCTATTAGACCCTGACTTTAAATCCTAGGGGCACTGAGGAAGATCAGACAGGAAAGGCATTTTCAGACAAATGTGTTGCTATGATCAGCCTTATAAAATCCTACCTTTAGTCAAATATCACATGGTGGGGGCACAGCAGAGCTATCTAAAGCCTGAGATCAGTGACTGCGTACACTCCAGGCTCTCTGATTCAAGTTTGACAAAAACAGTAATTGAAAACTTAAGAGTTTCATCTTTAGCTGAGTTTTATCTGGAAGTTGACTACCAATATGCAGTGCTCAAGTTTCCTCTAGAAATAGAAAAAAAAAGTCTCATTTATAGACAATATTGCATAAGTTACCTAACAGGCCAAAGCAATTTTACCAACAAGAACACAACACCACCACAATCATCCATTCTGCTAAAACAGGTAGTCAGGTTCTATTTAAATGCTCATAGCTGATTTAAATACTTGATTAATTTAAAGCAAAACCCCATCGCTTTCCTGGCAACATCCTCAAAATAAATTTTCCTCCCCCCCCCCCAGCACACAACTGTGGCCCCAAGTAATTTTATTTTTTACCCCTCTCATCCCAGGAATTCTCTGTTCCCCACCACTCACTCACGGGTCATCTGCACAGGATTCAGCAACACTGCTGTTCCATTCAGTTCAGAACTGCAGAAAGCCATGTTATCTTTCCTCCCCTATTTTACATTATACTTCCATTGCTTTTCACACATCTTAGTGAGGAAGTCAAGAGGTTGCTAGTCCCTGAGTTGACTGTAACAGCCCAGTGTCATTTGTGTGTAATTTGTTTTTCCACTCTGCTCCACAGTGGAGAATGCTTTTGACAAGCTGTAATTGAACTGTGTAAGATGTCATTGATAAAGGATAAGATCTGCCAAATACTGAAGCTTCCTCTATAAGATCATCTTATTGTACCGTGTGTATATATATAGAGACATATATACACACACATACACAGACACTAAAAAAGTCCAAACATCTAAACAGAGAAAATATTTCCTCTGTGTTTGAAAAAGGAATGGCAGAAAAGCACAACCAGTTGAGTACCAGTTACCTCTACTGTCTCTGAAATCTTCTGCACCTATATTTGCTATATAAGATACATTTGCAATGAGATGAGTCATTAAACAAGCGCAATCTTAATTGTCTGCCACGAAGATAAAACAGATTTCTTTGGCTACTCAAACACACAACAGAAGTGGCCACTTTCTTGCCCTCAGCTTACTCACCTGCCTGTTCCTGAGGCTGCCACTTCCATTAAGATGGAGAGGCCAACTTATTTGCCACCTCATTTCCAACAGTGTTGCATGTTAAAGAGGAGGCAAGATATAGTACACCTCAGGGAAATGGATGTAAAAAACAGAAAAGTATTGCTGCTTTGCCCTGAAGGTGAGCAAAGGAAATTCTAAAGAATCACAGAATGGCCTGGGTTGAAAAGGACCACAATGATCATCCAGTTTCAACCCCCCTGCTATGTGCAGGGTTGCCAACCACCAGACCAGGCTGCCCAGAGCCACATCCAGCCTGGCCTTGAATGCTGCCAGGGATGGGGCATCCCTCCTTGGGCAACCTGTTCCAGTGCATCACCACGCTATGAATGAAAAACTTCCTCCTAATATCTAACCTACACCTCCCCTGTCTCAGTTTAAAACCATTACCCCTTGTTCTATCACTATCTACCCTCATAAACAGTCGTCCCCCTCCTCCTGTTTATAAGCTCCCTTCAAGTATTGGAAGGCCACAACGAGATCTCCCCATAGCTTGGAGAAAAGAAGGCTAAACAAGCCCAGTTTCCTCAACCTTTCCTCATAGGAGAGGTGCTCCAGCTCTCTGATCATCTTAGCAGCCCTCCTCTGGACCCGCTGTAACAGAAAATACTTCTAAAGACATTGGAAGTAACCAAGAAATATCTGAACAGGCACACGAGCTTTCTAAGTACCCTTGCTTTTGGAAGCTACTTCATGGTGTATGCAAACGATCCCCCTTACCTCCATAGGAATGTTTTCTCCTTCTTTTCCTCCCTCTCCCACCACACGTGCTTACCAAATCCTTGTCAGCAGCCAGAACTAATTAGAACATAAAAAAATTCTCCACAGTACTCTGAACAAGCACTCGTCTGTTACGAAGCAAAATAAGTATCACTTCACAGTGAGCCTCTTTTCCTCCTGTCGTTTTGCTGCCTTTGTAGGCTAGCTGCAAAGAAACTCCAGAAGAACAGCAAAGGGTACTGCAGAACTCAGTGCAGCTTTTATATAAATCAGGAGGCCTTGCTGCATAATTTAGATCTAATGCAATGCAGTTCACAGGGACTCGCCCATATATTGAGACTGAGCAGAGTTCAGTTTTCAAGCATTCCTTTATTCATTGTGTGATTACCTAGCTCACGTTTTCCTCAACTACTCAGTTTAATCACATATTTTAATTCCATTCCTGAATGTTACATTCTAGGCTTTCCATTTCAATTTCCACAGGGCAAATAAAACTGATGGAAAGCGTTTTGACAAGGGTATTGTTATTTCATCCAGTCGCCTGAGATGACTCCAAATTCAGATATTACATTTAATGTTTCTGGGGCAGATGCTGTTAGTTTTTTTTCAAAGGAACACAGTCTCATCATCTGCATACATTAGTGACTTCTCTGCCTCAAGTTGCATATGCTTCATACAGTCTTAAGCTTTCAGAGAGACTGCTGAAAATTTAATACTACTGGGGCCTCAAACATTTTTCCTCACAAAGTAAAGGAGAGGATAACTGTGGAAATTCATGTATCAAAGGAGAAGAGTACTTCATGCATTTATTTGCTTCAGCAGCAGGAACAGCAGCGAGATTCTATTTGAGGGCAAACTGCCCCAACCATTTTTCTTCTCGGTCACAGGAGCCTAAAGAACTAAAGCTACTGTTTATGATCAGCATCTGTTTTTAAGCAACAAAGATTTTTCGACAGTTTAGCTTCCGTGGTTTTGAACATTGCCATCTCACTGCTTTAGATACTAGGTCCAGGAGGCTCCCAGTAAACATACAGCTCAGAGTGGGGACAGACATTAAGCAATCTATGACAGGACTGCTGTGAAGAGTTAAAGGCCATCAATATAACAAGGTGAGAACTACTGCATTTCCAATGGAACTTCTGACAGAAGACCTCACATCATCAACATTCTTCTCACCTTTGTTAATGAGGTGCTGAATCAATAATCATTTTAACTATTTTTTTCCAGTATTTATGAGCCAATGTCCTTCTGTTTTCAAGAAGAAAAAAACATCTGCATTAGTCTTGGTTTTGATTGGGATTGATTGTACATGCATGTACACAAATACGTACACGCAAAATATGACATCCATATCTACGCAACGACGCAAACTTGAGACATGTGCCATACACACCCCAAAAAATCTCCATTCTTGACAACAACATTCCTTTAAAATTCACTATAAGCTTCAGTCAGGGAAATGACTTAATTTCTTTGCTAAGAGTGGCACAGGAGGACTCCATTCTATTTTAACACAGGCATCCAACCAAACAGATACACTGTTACATGATTTATTCAGAGGCAAAAGCCAAGCACTGACAAATCAGTGCTTTATACACTCAGTCCATCGACAGTATACGTGAAAATACAGTTTGCATGTGTATATATGCATGAACATGTATATACCTGCCTATACTACCATATTTCTCTACAGCACTGCACAGCAGAACTGAGGAAACCTAAGAGAACATTAATACGTATTCTTCTCATTGAATCTCCTGTACACACCACAGATGTACCATCACAAATTCATTTAAAGTTCCTCAACTTGGGATATAAGCCACCTCTTCAGATTGTTTTGTTCATAATTACTGCAATCACGTAATAGAACTGTCTGAATACGATACCACTACTGCAGTTATTAATCATTCTGGTTCTATGTGCCTCATAGCCAGCTCAATATACTGCATTATGTCACAAACTAAGTATCAAAGCTAAACACATCTAAGTCAACTGTTACAGAGACCTTTCAAAAATATAAATTATTTTTGCAAGCTAAAAAAGGCTGGTGCTGATATATAGATGCAAAGGTCAGCAGCTAAACATAAGACAGTTTTCAACCATTAAACAACCTAACTAATATTAAACCTGTTTTGCCACTGCTAGGAATAGTCAGAGCTTAAGATGACCAACTTTGCATACAAAGCAGCTCTTACAAGAAAACACATTTCAAGATAACACATTTCAAGGTATCTTCAAGAATAAATGCAGGATTTCCAAGACTTCAGAAGCAGGCACCATTCAAACCATTTTTGAAAAATATACTCTATTTCATCAGAATTAGTAATTTAAAAACAGTACAAAAAGAACCACACAGGCCTCTATTCAGGAATACAAATCCATTTAAGAGCATCACCTGGAAAATACTGCCAGGCTCTGATTTAGCCCACACGCCCACGTTAAAAAACACATTTTGTATTTTTAGGTAACCAGGTTACATTTCATTTACATTTTATTAGGGAGCTCCATACACAAAACAGCGAAACTCGAAATTCAATTGACTTGGACATGTGCGTGTTCAAACACACACAGTATAGTAGAAACAAATACAGTTTCGTTGATTAGTGAATAAACTAACGGGCATCAAGCGGACTACATTTTCCTTAATTTAGCTACATACATTGGACCCCATGCTCTCCCTTTCTCTGGCAGAACCAGAAGTTCATGCTGTTGTGTAGCACTGTGAAAAGTGAATTCCTGGGAAACAGCTTTGGCAATTTCACTTATATTTACAGGAATAACATTAGTGCAGGAGTTCAGAATGAGATTTATTACATTGCTGTTCTCTTCCTTTGAGAGAGTGCAAGTAGAGTAGACCAATGATCCACCAGGACGCAGTGCTTTAATAGCAGACCTGCAAATAATGAAAAAAAGTTAAGCATACATAGAGAAATACTGAGGGATAGAATAGGGGAGGCGAAAAGGAGGAAAGGTGTGAGAGTTGTAAATCTAGATTTACAAATAGGTACACAAATAGGAAAAAATAACATCATGAAATATTAATAGAATAATTGACAGTTCAGGAGAACACCTGCATCACAGTTTTGCTTCCTCATTCATTATTGTATTATCAGTTAATTAAGAGTGTGTTGGTTTTTTTAATGTAAGAATGACAAGTAGATAACAGCATTCATTCAGAGTTGCAGAATATACTTTGGATCATTTATATGCACAGCATAACTGTGAAAATGCTGCAACTGTGCATACAAAATGGGTGAATACCACATCAAAAGTGCTAGTTAGATATTTAGCTGGCTGCTGGAGTGAACAAATAGCAGAATGTACTGTTGCAGTAATAGCCTGGACTAATTGCTCTGCTCTAATTTGTGCAATTTCAGCAACTTATTCAGCATATATCAGGGCTGGAGATTTCACTTAGACACTACTTCTCAATCTGATTTCCTAAGGAAATATGATTTGTTGCATTATATCATCTACCTGTGTCTACGTGTTTATATACCCTTATTACCCTGTTGACAAATACTGGCTAAATAAGGGCAATATTTCACGACTACTGATGGACAGTACAGGGTATTCCCTCCCCTCTCGCCCCTCCTTAATTCCCCACTGAAACTGAGACTGAACAAACTGCTTACTTTCCATTAAACCAGATTCCCAAGATCCTTCTCATAAAGACAGAAAAACTATAACTCGTAAGAGTAAGAAAATGAGATATGTAATTCATAGACTTACAGCAAATTAAAAAAAGAAAATAAAACCTTGTACCACAGAAGACTATTGAATTATTAGATTGGCAGGCATCACTGAGATGACTGCATTAACCAAGAAGAAACAAAACCAGCAACACGAAGACACTAAGTGGAAACGAAAAACCCCAATCCTCAAATCAGGTGAGCAGCCCCCAGAAGCAGTGAGCCTGGTTTCAGGCTCAGATGAATAAACACAATGCCACTGAAATAGCAATTCCTCCAGAGGCAAGCTGAGGATCTGCTAAGCATGATATCAGAATGAGAAAAAAGAAAAAAAGAATGAAGGAGGGAGAAACCTCAAGTCCCTTCTTTCTTTTATAAAAACAAGATTGGGCCTTTTCAGTACGAGAATCAATAATAAAAGCTTTATCACAAGCAGGATCAAAGCAACTCTGAAAGTCCTATAAATAATAGGGAAACACCCGGACAAATGACTGAGATAACACATCATTGTTAACCTTCCCAGGTGAAAACACCTTTGTAATATACTCTATACTCTTTTCATTATACCATTAAACTTTGTATTGTATTTCTCTGAGGAGTGTAAGATCATCTTGCTCATTTCTATTAGTCTCAGTAAGGTTCATCAACAAGCCAAATACATAGTTAGTGTAACTACACTACTCCAGTTTTACTTAGCCTAAGGGAACAGATCTCTGACAACAGATGATGCTAAAAAAAAAATTAAAAGTCAGTGTTTAATGCCTTTGTTGTATCAGTTCAATAAAAAGATGGTGAGTGAGCAGATGGCTCACATTTAGCATAAGTGAGAGAACAGGTCAAGATCAGCCTGTTATAGGTAAAGAACAGGTTACAGAAAACTTAAGTAGTCTGAATACTTTCAATTTAACTGAGCCTAATGGACTCATTCTAGGACACTTCCAAACTTAGCTAAAGCCTGTGAAAGAGCAAGCTTATCTCAGACTTCTGAGTAGTTTCTGAGGATCTGTGAAAGTGTTTAAGAATATTGTAGATACAGTCTGATACAGACGGCATTAACCACATCACTTTGAGACAGTAAATATAGAATGGTTGTCATACCAACATTTTTCCACGTGATCACAGAATGATTTATGTTGGAAGGGAACCCTGAAGGTCACATTGTCCAACCCAGACCTTATTTTCCAAATCTGCAACTGATGGGTTGACAGTTGGATTAGATGATCACAGTGGTCTGCTCCAACCTTAATGACTCTGTGATCCTAATTACCAGCATTCACTTCAATTACTCAGTCCTGGATAGTCATCCCTTCTCTTCCTCCTGCACCCCAATACACATACACCTTATAGCAGGATTCAAAAAGTATTGAACCAGAGAGCCTCAGCTGTCTGTCCAAATAATTTTTTGTTTGCCGCTCTTGCGCTATGGTGACAGCCATCCATTTTAATGGGCAGAGTTAATGCTACTTCTGCCTGGCTTGTCTAACCAACCAAAACACACCCAGATGCACGGAAGACAGCCACTGTAAAGCAGAGGACGAAGCCACAGTATGCACATCACAAAATATCTGCAAGAAATTCAGTAATATTCCATTGTTTCACAACAAACAAAAGTTTTTAGATGTCTTGAATTGGCTGCCTTTTTATTTAGATTTCAAATGCTAGAGTGAAAGCAATCTTTATGAAATTATCTTCTTAAGGCATAATTAATTGCACCATTTTCTAGTTTAGAAATTTTGCAGTAAAGCATCTCTTCAGAATTTTGGTGTAACGCTCATTGCCATTTTGCTGTGTCTTGGTACGAAACAGCCCAGTGCCCAAAGTGTCACCTGTTCATAGTTTCTAGTGAGGAATCAAAGGGCACATTGCAAATCCTGCACTTTTAAACATATGAACAAAACAGAGACAGTTAATTGCCACAATGAGTCACTATCAGGAAGCAAGACAACATATCCACTTTCTTAGACAAACGTAGACACTGATAAAACAGCTGTAAATGCAGTTCATGGGCAGTTCCTCATTCATACACAAAGTTGATTATACGTGTCCAAATTTAACATGTAAAACATGATGTATGAAACATGAGCAACACTTCACAGAATTGAAAAGGTCACTGAAATACGCAATTTTGCCACAGGCATAATTGTTTCTGCTACTACAAGAAAGGAAAAAAAAAAAAAAAAAAATGTTCACAGTTCAGTTACTCTTTCTAAAAGTATGTAGCTTTATAGGTGTTCTATAGCAGTATCTGAAGATCTAAGACCTTAGTAACGACAGCATACCTAAGTACTGTTCTGAAAGGCCATTCTGTGAGGCCATTCCTGAAGAGTGTTCTGTGTTTAATCATAAACAAATACAAAACTATTAAAGAAACAGGAAAGTATATTCTTATTCTGAAGATGAACAACAAACAAGGATCAGTGCACAGTTCTCTGTTTCCTTAGGGTTCTGGAAATCATAAAAGCATTTTTCCCACATCTAATAGTTGCTCATTTTCTAGCTTTTTATCAGAACTTACTGAGAAGAAATCTAAACAGTGTCTTAAAGTGAGTGTAGCTCATCTTCATAATATTATAAGAAACCAAATAGTTTTCTCATTTTCATATTTTCTCCTTCCTTTTACACCTTCTCCATATATCCAGGAATGCTGAGCCACAGAAAAACAGCCAGTCAAAAATGTGAAAATATTTCTGCACAACAATCAAGATGTACTTTTAGTACACCTGATAAAACTGTATTCAGAGTTGATAACCACAGCTGCATTCCTATAACGCATATAGTATATGAGAACTCAAACAAGTGAGAAAATATTTTTACTGTTAAAAATTGGAAAAGTTAAGAGGTAAGTACTGAAAAAGGAGGCCAGCCTAAACACCGCTAAATGCTTTTCTCCTATGAAGTAACAAACATTCTATTTGTTACTTCACTATTAGGCACTAATAGGCACTATTTCCAAAGGCACCACGCTCCTACCATGAAGACCCTGGTGCAGGATTCAGAGGAAGGAGCAACGCAATTTCCAGAAGAAAATCAGAAAACCTCACAACAAAAACCAAGACTCCTTGACAATTTTCACTACCCCATAACCCAAAAAAAGTTGGGCTGCTGAATGCAAAGTCATCTTTACTCTGAACCTATGTCATGAATTAAAATACCTAAGGGAGATTACTTGACACTGCAAGGTTAAATCGCTGTATCTATCCATCTTGACAAGCTCAGCAACAGCTGTTTCAGCAGCAGCGTTCAATGTCAACCAACCGCCATCCTTGATTAAGCTGTGCCTGGCTTCTGAAAAACCTTCAAAGAGCTGCAAAATTCAAAGTGAAAAAAAGCTGGGCTCAAAGTCACAGAGGGATAATGTGGTGGGTTAAGCTGATTCAGAGAATCAGATCCCCTCATCGTCAGCATGATAGAGAATTCATTCATAAGAAAGCATGCACAAATACATTTAGGAAACTAATCTTCTATAAACAAGGGAGGGAAACAAGTCCCATTAAAGGGGCATATCAGAGCTGGACCATAACATACTGACACCCCGCAGAACCCACTATCGCTGCTGTGACTACACAGTTCAAGGATGTACAGTTCCTCTTACACAAGGTGTTATCACTCTGATTCTTATTCAAAGCTTGACTCTCAACAAAGCAATCCAGTGCTTGTCATGAGGTACTTGATAACTTCCAAACATGAGCTCCAAATGTGGATAACTAAGAAGGACATGAGGGCAGAAGACACTGATGGTTTTTTCACCTTTCTTTTATAATGTGTTGCTTAAACATAAAATATATTAGGTAATTAAACCACAGTGATTCTTCTCTTAGTGCTACAGATGTTCTTCTTCCAACTTATTAAAGAAGTAGCAAAACTTAGTTGAAATATGAATAGAGTTACACTTAATTTGATAACTTGAAGATACCCGTTTACCATACTAATTTTACATGTGACATGCACTAACACTGCAGTTTCAAGCTTCTCATAAGAACACATATTAGAAGGACAGAAAACCTTTCCTGGAGCCTCCTATGTCCAGTTTTCCATACAACCAATTTTGTTTTACTATACTGTCAACAGCTGATGTGTGTAACTCAGCTTGTGTTGCACCCTATCATATTGCACCATTGCAGAAGTGTGAGGTTATTGTTTTAGTTCTGTAACCTGGTCAACACACAGCAAAACAAAAGAAGAATAAAACTGGTAAAACACA